GAAAATGCTCCTTTGTGGGCTCCATATTAAAATTGACGCCAAACAAACAAATTTAAACAGATTCGCGCACTTTTTTTCTAAAGCAAGCTAAAAGTAACAGCTGCTAACTGACAGAAGAAAGAATGCAATTACAGAGTCAAAAGCCGTTGAAAAAATTTGTCAACGCCGACGCAATTACTTTTTGGGCAACCCAATATGACCTACTAATAGCACGGAAGAGTCTTAGGTGCAGCGCTCTCTTTTTGCGGACTTTATTGCTTAGCTAATACGGAGTAAAACAACAACTGGATAAGGTAGAGTTCCTTCTTTATAATAGTTATAGAACATAATAGTAAATATACTCTTAAAAAAATTTAATAGGGAGTTCACAAATAAAATCGCCGGAGATTTAGTGAAAAGAGCTAATAAGCCTTATGTGACTTGTGCAGGGGATTTTTTGAACGAGATCGAATAATTCACCCTCAGCATCAACTCAAATAAACTAAAACTAGTTCTATTTAAAAGGCACTACAATCTTCTAGAAAAAACTTTTCCTATATAAGGTGTTATTTTGATATTAAAAGAATAGCATTTTCATAGCTAAGTTTTCGGATGCTTATTTCAATGCCATGCCAATCGAAAACAACTTTATACAAATAGCCGCCACGGCTACGCTTACAGAACCGTATCTTTTTTATGAAATTTTCCATCACCAAATCGCAAAGTAACTGCTGTAGTCTCTCGCTAGCTGGACGAATACTATCTTTGGGGTCCTGAATCGACATTGGCCTGTTAGTGTAGACCTTATAGTTTACGTGACCCCAAAAGAAGAAGTCACAAGGCTTCAAATCACAAGATCTCGGTGGCCCATTGTGATCACTTCTTCGAGAGATAACACAGTCCGGAAACTTTTCTCTTAAAAGATCGCTGGTTTTATTCGTTGTGTGACTCTTAGCGCCGTCGTGATGAAAGTGAATGTAGTCTAAATCAATATCACCCAATTTCGGAAATACGAAATCATTAATAATCTCTTAAGAGTGCAATCCATTATTTTACGATCAATAAACCGTACAAAACAGTAACACGTTGGGGGTGGGGAGGCTTTTTAACAAAAATTCTTGGTTTTTCTGAGCCCCAGTGGTGACAGTTTTTCTTATTGACGTAGCCATCCTCATGCAACATGACTTTTCGATGAAGTTCTGGATAGTTTTCTTACATTTTAAGTACCCAATCAACAAAACGATGACAATGTTAATGATCGGCCGCCTTGAACTCTTGTGTTAACTGAACTTTATACGCCTGAAGTCTCAAGTCCTTATGCAAAATACGGTGGTAAAATATTTATTTTTGGATATTTGTGTATGACAATATAGAGAAAATTTTATTTGATTCTGAAAAGAAGGTTTGTTGTGAAGATTTTGACTTCGGGGATTTGGAAGAATTATTAACAGAAATGATATATCTTATCAAAACAGTTGTATGGCAGCTATATACATGGCCCTCCGATTTCTATGACTTTCAGTACCGGTCGGTTTTTTTTGGGCTAAATAATGTAGTCCTCCGATTCGAATTCAAATCTCATATCAGAACAAAGCGGTTATATGGAAATTATATGTTATAGTAGTTCGATCTGGCTGGCTCCAAAAACTCTTATCTGAATGGTTAAAGTTTTTATGGAGCCGTGTCTTCTCCTTCTGCACTTACATAACTCGGACCAAGGTTGATGAATGGTATGATAGGAATTAAAATCTGCCGTAAAACGAAAACCACAAACTTAATACATGGGCTTAAAAGTCCCGGGTCTGCCAATGTGTCATGGCACTTAGCACCTTTTCACTTAGATTGAAATCGCCTTAAAAAAGTGCAAACTCAAAAGATTTCAAAAATTCTATTACAATTTTCAATTAAGCAAATAAACTTTTTATGCAATGAAGCGAAAAAAACATCCATTTGAAATAACAAAAATACTATCTCCACTGCCCATCGTAGCAAAGTGATACCAGAACACCAAACCGGATTTCTTTAACAACGTGGTACAACTACTGTACTATTCACATAGCACAAGCGTTCAACACTTTTAGTTACTCATGACTTCTGTTTAAGAATTTGTCCTCAAAACACTAGCCCATATACTAAAGTTTCAACAAACTGGGCCAAATTTTACCGTAAGATACTAATAAATATAATTCAGGTCTAAGACAAACTGGTATATTTTTGACCTTTAAATACTAGTATAAGTTTTCCTCTTCAAAATAAGTGGAAGTTTATTCACTCTTTTCCCTGCGAGATGTTAACTTAAAAGAAGAAGGAGCGGTGGTTTATTAGTGCTTATGTGTAAAATATTAATTATTATTTGTTATTATTGTTTGTAAAATTAACAATTTTTGGGTAAATAATTAGTCAATGTAATGAACGAAATTTATCTATTGGGAAATGCATAGCTCGCTTCAGGTACATAAATTTATTATAAAAATACTAATAATTTAATAACATATTCACTCATACTTTCAGATACTAGCTATTTGTTAGTTTCCTTGCTAGTAAATACCATCATTACACCGACATATCGGTTTAAATGGTAGCCATTCAACAGAGAAATAATAGCTCTTTGGTCGGCACGAGCACTGTATACATATGTGGAGGGAACTATAATATTTACAAATATATTTAAAAATTAAATAAAAATTTTATTTTGTAAACATATTCAAAACAATTGCTTAATTCAAAACTTTGCTGAACATACTATAAATAAATATTCTATTCTGAACGTAAATATATATAAAAGTCGTACTAAAATTTTATTTCATGAGATTTTTATTTTTCAGTAGAGAAGGAAATAATAAATTTCACTGCCAATTGAATAACAATGCTATTACTGTAAAATCAATAGCAATTTTACTGTTGCATCAACAGATTGAATGAAAATTATAACAGATGTAACTGCAACGTTAGTTATTGCAACAGAAATACTAGGTATAGTAAAAAGTAACCCATTATTTTTGCATATAATTGATTGCTTTAATTTTTTCTTTTTATATCCAGTCTTATTCAAATGGTTCCAAACGATGTTTTGTGCAATCTTTAACTCTTGGGCAATCGAAACAGTGCCTGCATGACGGTCGGACTCGACAAAGTCTATTATTTATTATATCGATATTTTTGACACTACGTGAAGCATCTTTAACATCAAAATTACCCGAATGAAACCGAAATTGTGAAAGATTGAGGGTAAAAATAAGACCATAAACTATGCATTTGCAGCTTCCTGACTTAAGTGTTCGCCCTTATCGAAGAAAATCTATAAAAGATAGCGTATTTTCTCTTTGCTAGCGTTCATTTTCGACGTACGCTCAAACAAAACTGAATCAGCCAATCCCAAAACTGTCAAAAAAAAAAAGCATTTTTAAAAGCGAAATGTCATCTTTATAACGTGAGATACAGATGAATAACGTCACCCATTGGAAAAATGGATTACTTTTTCCTACACCTCTTTTAGGGCATAACAACTGTCACGACTGTTTATAAGTAACAGAAATTCCGTTGAAACAACAGCAATTATTCTGGCATACGGCGTGTTACTTGGACAGTAAAACTGTTAAACTTTTAATCAACAGAACAGCATCTGTTAAATTAACAGATAAATCGTTTGGAAGTTTGGAAGAAGATCGATCAGAATTATGCTAAAAAAATAATTTTGTAAAGTTCACAGTATTAAACAACAAAACATATAACCAAATTAAGTATTGGAAGGCTTTATTTGATACTTCAAAATAATATTTCGTAATAATTTCAGAGGCCGCTTGAAAGTCTAAATCCCTCTTACCCTCCGATTTTCACACCTCGCTCCCTTACACTGCTGATCCGATCTGATCTTATAATGAAACCTAGAACTAAAGATATCGCAAGAATACAAGAGTACAAATCATAAATGTTAATATGTGAAATATGAATTTATACTCTGTACGGTCGTAGATACATCTAGATAATCATTTTTCAGGACAACACTACAAAATTCTTTTTCGCATCATTATTACTGCATCATTATTAGCAGGGATTACCACTTATAGACTTGTGCTCACTAAACACAGCAGTTGACCATATTAATGACATTCAAAAGTGATTTGACAAGCCACAACTTCCGACGTTCTTCAGGATGCAAGCGTGAATCAGCAATTTCAAGTTTTTTTCTGGAGTCAACATCGTCAAGTCTTTATATCAAGAACTTAATCGAAGTGCTAGTATTAGCGGTGTTTACTTTGTTTGAAAATAATTTTATATGGTATAACAATTGGTTGAATATTTTACTTCAAAGTGAATATTAAAAACTAATAATAAGTAAATTATATTTGTTTTTGATAAAGTGGAACAAATACAATGGTGATTATTTTTGGTAGATCGTACCGATCGCTTATGGTTCTTCATCCAAGCGTGATAAGACATGAGTTTGCCCACGTCGTTCGACTCAAGTGGGGACAATCGGAGAAGCCAACTTAAAGTTATAGTCACTAGCAGGCATGGAAATACTCAGACCATGGAAGATACCTTCAACTAACTAATATCGTAAATTCGAGTAACTACGATAAAAGTGATAATAGTTCCTGACGAAATTACATAAGCCATGAAAATATACATATAAGCTGCAGGGCGTGTTAGACATTCGGTTGGAATAATTAGGGTTTTTTGAAGTTATAAGCTGTCAAGTTGCTTTTTCCAAGTGTGCAGAAACGCTTACCTGTTGTATCATTCGGATAAGTCAGGGGTAACTGTGATCCTGTAGACTTTTTATTGAACTCACAAGCTGGCTGATGCTCCAGTCTTATATGTTAGTACAAATGACCTAATCGCAGGATCGTCCAGAAATAGTCACACGCCCATGAATTTCAACTTCAGTGGCCTAATTGGTCATCTAGCCAATGGAAAATCATAACAACTCGTATAGCACAAGCGCAGCATTATTTAATTCGAAAAATAAGTAAGTTTTTTTTTAAATTTTTATTAGGTTCCTTTAAAAATACCATTTTTAAAAGCAATCACAATTTACATTTAAAGCTGAATATTTACTCGTGTTTACATAACAATTCTTTATTTTCGTTTACTTAAATCAATAATAAATGAATTCTTGAACTCATAAAATCTTACTTGTTTATAATTATATAAAATTTTATAACATCACTTCTAATATAAGTATTTATGTATATACATATATATGTATACAAAATCTTGAGGTAGACGAACTCAACGGCCCTTGCGCTAAGAGCGGCCATCACCTTCACTCCGAGGTATCACCGGCAGGTTGGACTCCATTTTCCGGATCAATGGTAATCAACGCTGGAAAATGCAAAATTTCGTATAAACATTTTAAAAAAAAATTATTATGTTTTTCGTACAAGTAATAAACAAAACATAAAGGGTGTTAAAAATTCAATTATATATAAATAAACTAATGTATTTTAATTATGCTAAGAGAGGTCTCTCACCTCTTCTGCTCTGCTTTCTATTACCGCTATATTTGCGTTTTGGCCGCTGCACTCTCTCAGTATCTCTCGCTGTGTGCCGACTTTCATCATGATCGTCCGAGCTCGTTAGCTGTTCGTGTAGTAAGACATTGCCATCACTGCGGAAGCGACGCACTGGTATCACTTTCCTACGTGCCACTTGTATTTCATTCGACGCACTGCCAAACGACTGCCCCTCCGACACACCATTCGCTGTTGCTTTTGCATTAAGTTTACGCTGAGCACCACCACCATTGTCCGACATTTTCAACGAGCTCTTTGAGCCGCTACCTGCACCGCTCAATATATTCTCCGTGGATGAGTTACGCGCCCGCCGCCGGCGACGATAGCGGCTGAAGCTCTCTTCTTGCAACAACAATGTACCGGCCCTGCATGTGCGTAAAAAATAACGTGGTGCATGATATACTTCATGTTCCTCAGCATATTCAGGCGACGAAAAGCGGCCCTTATTGAAACTAAAACGTTCTAGTATCGATTCAGAGGTTGCAGGCGAACGACCGGAACTTTGTGAACGGCGATAACGACGCTTCTCACGTGGCCCAGATGATGAGGAATTACTTGGCGTATTGGTTGTTGTAGATGGTGGCGTAGGCAAACTATTGATATTAAAAGAGTTGGGTATACCCTTGGCAACCGAAACATCGTCGTGAACTTTGAAACGTACGCCCTTCAAGGAATTGGCACGTCGCTCTATTCGACAATCGGGCAAGTCATTGGTGTAGAAGTCGATGGCGGAGGATAGCGTGGAGGTATGTTCTGTGGATGGTGTGTGTACGGTGCTATGGTTGCATGAAGGCACAGGCGAGGGTGTGGCCTCTTGTATTTGTAAACCACTAAATTGTCGATTCAAAGCTTGTTTTATCGACTGTGTCAGGTTAGAGGTGACAGCTTTGTTTAGCGGCTTATGTGTACGTTGCTTTTCTGAATTAGTCACTTTTTCAGTTGAGCGCTGTCGTGCTGCTGCCTTCGGCTGGCTATAACATTGTTCCACCTGATTGTCTGCATCCAGCAACAATGTGCCCTTGTGATCGTACAGCAGTATGCGCGGCAGTGCAATATTCGAGCAAGAGCGCGAAGTGCTTAGCTCCCAGCGCCAATTCTTCGGTTTACGCAGCTGCAAGCTCAGCACATTAGCAAGCTCATCGTCGACATCTGCAGCAGAGTAAGCATCTTTAGTCATTGTACTGGCAGTCGTTGTTGATTTTTCTGATGAGCAACGCGTATCTGGCATACGAGCGCTTTCTATACCGTTACAATTGCTGCTACTGTTGTTTTTATAGGATTGTATATTATTTTGTTGTTTTGCTGCTAGCGTCCACGGTGCACTAGTACGCCGCTGGTGCATATCCACAAACAATTCAGACATTGTGACGAGGTATGTTGGGGCGTATGAGTGATTCGCGAGGAAGCGAGGCAATGGTAATAAACAAATTTCAGCTGTGCGTTGATTCTACTCATCAAATGTATTTATTCTGACAGGTGTGTGCACATAACAGTATATGTGTTTTGTGCTTATATGCGCGAGTGTATGTGCGTCCCCAACAAATTCATTTAGTATTTGCTTAGTCAGATTCAGTCTATGGCATTCAGCGCATAAACAACACACCTGTTGTGTTAATTTAATAATTATTTATATTTATATTTATATTTATGTTTATGTTTATGTCTATTTATTTTAGGCTCGCTCAGTTAACCTTTGAGATTTCATATTTTCAACATGTCTTCCTTATGTGACAGCAGCCCTAATGCTGACTCTGTCAACGCTATGCACATCAGCTGTCGCAACAGTCAGCCATAATACCACCAGTACATTAAGGCATTTCGCGCAAAAATATAAAAATACAAAAATACATTTTTTTTTTATTTAAATATACATACTTTTCTCTTGTAGATAAGTAGAATATAAAGATGAAGATCAACATATGTATAGCCGCTGGCTATGTGCCAAATAAAAAAGTAAGCAAGAAATCGATTTTTTAAATATAAATATTTATATACACATAAATACTCGAACATGAATTTTGCGGGTTTTTGAAAGTATGCTCTTCATGCATGAAATTTTTCTGCTTGTGGGTCGCCGGATATTTGTTTTTTTTTTTTGCTATTGCACTTGATCAGCTGACTTTTTTGCTTTCAGAATTATTTCATTAAGCATTTTTTATTATTTCTTTAAGCATTTTATGCATTTTAATAATATCTTTATAATTCTTACAAATCGGTTAAGATAAAATTGATCGTTTAATAAGCATGTGTATATTATTTAGATAAAAATTAATTTAAACAGAATTAAATCACACGAATGAACTTCTACTCCCTCGATACGTATGCGCATGTATTTGTTTGTTTGTTATTGTTAGTACACGCATTTTTGCGCTTTGCTTGTGACCGATAGACGCACTTTTATTTCATTTTAATTTTACTTAATACATTTAAAAACCAAATTGTTCGTCGCCTCATTCATTAGCTTCACCCGCACAACGCCCCGCATTGCTTAGCGTCTATTTATAGAACACGGCGTACGCATTCGTCGTATTTATTTTCAATCGGCAGCGTCGCGTAAAACAAACCGTGGGATGGGAATGTTACATTGAAACCTCTTAAGCAAAAAACAAAAAAGAAGTACAGCCCTGCCCCCATATTCACATTTACAAATCTCGCTATGGATTTGGATTGAATTATGTGATACTTCGACTTCACGTTCATATAAATTTTTGTGAATTGAATTCGAGTGTTGTGTTGTAAGTGAATTGAAAAGTAAAGTAATACAAATGTTTCAATAAGTTAATTTTTTTTCTAACAACTTTTAGATATTTCCACATGGAATATTTTTTATTGAAACATTAATATTTTTAACTATTTCCTAAGGGTACCGCGAAGGTTTAAAAACACCGTTCAAATTGAACGAAATTTCTACGATGGGTGTATACGTAAGTATATTTATTAAATAAATGATATGTGTGACAGAAAAAAGGTTAAATAAAATGAAAGTTGTCGGTTCAAAGCTTGCGCGACAATTGGAAACGAGGTTCGCTCTGCCCATTCCACAAAAAGTTCGATTCCACAGCCTGCAACATTCATTCAATCGAGCCCATTGTGTGAACGACTAAAACCCACTACAACACAACAAACCTACACAAACTGATTGTACCTTTTCAGAGTGGCTTTAGACCTGGTAATCAACCATTCACCCGATATTCACCATGCTCAAGAATAGGGGACCATCACACACAGCCTCTTCATCGATTCTAAAGCCGCCTTCGATAGCACGAAGGAGAGCTGCCTTTACACCGTTAAGTCTGAATTTGGTATCACCGTAAAACTTATACGGATCAGTAAATTGGCATTAAGCAACACCAAGCGCTTCTTCAGGATTGGGAAAAATCTCCAAGCTATTAGATACCAAACGAGGTTTCAGACAAGGCGATACCTTATCGTGTGAGGTTTCCTATTTATTGCTGGTAAAAATAATATGAGTTGCAGGGCTGAATATAGGAGTTACAATCTTCTATATCGTCTTTGTAATACTACTGACCGATGATGTCGACATTATTTTCCTCAACAACGACGCCGTGAGTTCTGCTCTCTCCAGACTGAATAAGGAAGCAAAGGAAATGGGTCTATAAGTGAACGGGGGCCAGACAAAATATCTCCTGCCATCAAAGAAACCGCAGACCAACTCTCGACTTGGCTCGCAAGTCTCTGTGGGAGCTTCTATGTTGGAGTCAGTAGTAACTCTAACAATAATGTCAGCCTGGAAATCCAACGCAGAATCACGAAAACAAGTGACACTTTGGACTGAGTAGGCAATTGAAAAGGAAAGTCCTCTCTCGACGAACCAAAACCAAACTCGCATGGTTGATGACAACATCTGATGAGCCGGCTTTAGGAGTTTTCGGGAGAAAGCATTTGCGTAAGATTTATAATCCTCTACGAGTTGGGAACGGCGAATACCGTAGCTGCATGGGCTATATGATATATGATGATATTGATCTGGACGAATAACAATATTTCAGCTTTGAAAGTTCCCGCCGATGGAAGCAAAGGAAGATGAAGACCTCTACAATATTAGAAAGACGAGATAAAGATGGGGCCGGACGGTACTTTAGTATTTCCAATTGGCGCGAAACTGCGAAAAGAAGTAGTGAATGGCTCGCTGCGGTAAACTCGGCTATAATCGCGTAAGCGGTATCTATGCCAGTGAAGAAGAAAAAGTGTGTTGAAAAGAGAATGAACATTTGTGAAAATGGGAGCACATCAATTTATGTACTTTCCGAGGAAATATTTGAATTTTCATTGCGATATCGAAGTGTGAAAATGACAGTATGGCTGCTTAAATATTGTTTTGGAGAATTTCACTTTGAATTTATCCATTCAAAATTATGACATGTAATTCGTTTTACTATATTTATTTCATTTTTAATTAATGATTAAGAATATAGTGTATTTTTATATTTCACATGTTGAACCCAGCGGTAAATATTGTTCTTTATTGGCTATATATTTTGTAGAAAGGCGGAGATGTGGCATTAGTTTAATTTTATTTCATTTTATTTTGTTTTTTTAATATATAATTTATTTTAATTTATGATATTAATTAAATTTTTATTTTATTTATTGTAAATTTTTATATATAAGTTAATTTAAACTTTTATTTTATTTATTGTAAATTTTTATATATAAGTTAATTTAAACTTTTATTTTATTTATTGTAATTTTTTCAATATATATTTCAATTTAATTTATTTTATATTATGTTATAAAGCTTTACTTCATTTTATTTTAGCAAGTCAAAGGCTATATATCTGCGTTCCAAATATGAAGCAAATGAAACCCTGCACTCTTACGTTTCCCATAAAAGCAATGTATTTTTTTTTTAAGTTGGCCCATATTAAATAAAGTTCATCTTTTTATTACGTTAGAAGTAGATTTTCGGAAATCCCTTTCCAGATGACTTTGCTATACACAGAGCATACCCACCACCCTCTTCTGGGGTCGATTTAAGTTACGTGTTAATTCGCCAGTCATACAAGACAATCAATTTGGATACATAGATATATATATGAAATGCACTTTAATGCTTAATTTACATAACTTCGATCTTAACACTTTTAATGATTATTATTTTTTTCGTTCTTTTCCTTCAGCGTTAATAATACCAACCCACTGTGCAGCCGCTACGGCTATCAATTGAACTATTACTTGCACTTGCACGCTGCTGTCTTGCTTGTTGTGCATTTTTTGTTACTGTATATATACATATGTGTGTATGTAAGTAGGTCTCAAGTACTTGTTGTGGTTTTTGCTATTATTTATTTTTATTTGCATTTGCAATATTTATTGTTTCAGCCACTTATAGACACACAAAATTTGTAATTTGTTTTCTGTGAATATTTTCCCATATTTTTTTTTTTTTTTTTTTTTTGTGATTTTAGTTAAAGAATTCTTATTAAATATTTCAATGTTTACATCACACCAGAAGCACAATATACAATTGTATCAACACTGCCTTCATACCTCATTGATGTCACTTGACGAGTTTGTGGAATGAGTAAATAAACACATACACATATATACATACATATGTACATATCTGACAACAAAAAAAGACGTTAAATATTTGTTAAACGCCAACAACATCCTAGTACGAAATGTGCTTTTATTTTTTAAAGATTCACACAAATATATTATACGCACTCATATGTACGTATGTTAATTTGAAAAGAAAAATTTTTGTATGCAAATCTTCGTCCTTCTTTTATTGACGTCCGCAATTTTAATAATAAATTATTTTTATTTGTTCACATTGTTTTTTATTAATTTCATTTATTTATGCACAATACAAATTTTCGTATTTGTTGTATGTATTATTTTTTTCTATATATTATAACAATTTCAAAATAAACTTTAAAGGATCACAGATATTCACCGAAAAGCAGTGTTAAATTCAATAATGCTTGGGTGGAAATATAAATAATTAAATACATATATATGTAACACATGCACAAAATATATTGAAAACGTATATATGTACACCTACATATTCGTATATACGCGATTAAAAATTTTTTACAAGTACATATGTACATATGTATATATATTGTTTATTAGCACGGCAACTGGCAACAGCGACATGAGCAACAGGCTGGCAGCGCTCCCATCACCCCGACGACAACAAGTCAAAATAAAAATATTTTAATATAAACGAAGAAGCAACCAGCGACGCTTACGATTGTGATCGTCAACAGCGCGCACTCCAATTTTCACTAATCGAATTTCCGCAATTTTTCAAATCGAAATACCCGAACAGCTGCGCACTGCGGAGAATATCACACTGCCATGAGCACTGGCGAATTCAGCTAATACAAGCGATTTTCCTGCAAATTTTCCATATGCAAAAAACAACCAACATGTCAAACTAACAAATACAGATATCTAACTACATGCGTACATACATACATACAGACATTCTCACGAATTATGCTACTACACGTAGCATCGCATACAAATCTTGTTACAAAATGTTCTCATTACCCACAGATTTTTAGGCCGGTTTTTCTCACTCAAATATTTTGTTGAATATCCCCATTTAAATATTTACGCTCGCACAATTTTCTTTACTCATCACACTCATCATGAGATCTGTTCTGCTGTATGCTCTTCATTACCGTCGAGTGGGTGGCATGAAGTAAAAACCTGAAATCTAAAAGGAATATTCGGCATTATTTTTCAGGTATAATTGATGTTTCAATATGTTTACATAATTAATACTGATTTATGCACATACATATGTACATGTGAAATAAATATTATACATTTTTGGCTACATATTGAATCTCACATTTTAAATTGGTTAAAAGTATATACGTAGACTTGTCTGCGAAGTAATAAAACTTATGAAAATAAACTGGAAAATAAATCAAGCAATCAAATTCTTTCTTTCTTCTTGTGCGTGTGAAGTTAATTTAATTTAGTGTAGTGGCGCTTAATCACGAATAATTGGGGAAGACGCAAGATATTTAAAAACAGTTCTAAGATTTTTTATTAATCTCTTGTTGTTATTTATTTTGTTGAAACATAAGTTTTCACACACTAATCTAAACAAAAATCTATCTATTTTCTGTCAAACAAATAGAGCAATAATACGTTTTTTGAAATCTAATTTTCTGTAGACACTTCCTAAGAAGAAAACACAAGGTGCGTTCCAAAGTAAACAGGACTTTTGAAAAAAAGACAGAGGAAATGGTTTTATCGGCGAAATCAATAAATTTTATTCAAAATAGTCTGCTTTAGCTTTAATATAGCTTTTTGCACGGCCCAAAAGCATGTCGAACGAGTGTTTTAGCTCGTTACCCGTATTGGCCACCAGTATGCCGCTGCAAGCCTTTTGAATGACCTCCATGTCTGCATAACGCTTTCCTTTCTTCGTCAAAAGCATTTTTCCGAAAAGGTAGAAGTCGCACGGTGTCATATCAGGTGAATACGGGGAGTGGTTGATTGTTAAAATGTGATTTTTGGTCAAATAATCGGACACAAGCGTCGATCGATGAGATGGCGCATTATCTTGCAACAAACGCCAACTTCCATCTTCGCGATATTCGGGCCGAACACGTCGAATACCGCGCAACAAACGCTTCAAAACTTCAAGTTAGAATACCGCATTAACGTTTTTATTGCCGTATATATGACATTGCGCCATTAATTTCTTTTATTAGATTTTTAGCGATACCAAGTGCAGACAGGTCTTTTTCTACCTGATCTTTCCAGTGGAGTGGAGGCGGCTACTGCACCGAAAACTTTCAAAGCTGAAGTATTCTTTTCCGTCCGGTTCACATCACCTAGCTAGGCCAGCCGATATCTCTTAATTCGCTGTACTATGTCAATGTCGCCATATAACTCGTACAGCTCATCGTTCTATCGTCGGCGATATTAGCTGTTAGCATTGCGCAAAAGACCATAAATCTTACGCAAAAAAAAGAGGACGTCATCGTCCATGCTTCCGCACCATATAGCAGGACCGGAACAATGAGGAACTTGCAGAGTTTGGTTTTCGTTCGTCGGGAGAGGGCTTTACTCTTCATTTACCTACTCAGTCCAAAGTAGCACCTGTTGGCTAGAGTGATTCCGCTGAATTCCAATGTTGAATTATTATTGGTGTTAATGCTGATTCCTAGATAGACGAAATTATCTACGAAAGTTATAACTGTCAACAGGGACTTGGAAGCAAAGTTGAGAATGCGATGACTGTTTGTTTGATAACAGGAGATATTTTGTTTTGTCCTCGCAGGAGAAAGAAGAATTAACGGTGCGGTTGTTAATGTTGTTAAGGTCAATATCATCAGCGTACGCCAATAGTTTCACTCTTTTATAAAAGATTCCACCTTCTCTATTTTGCTCCGATTCATAAGAATAATAAGAGCTGCATATTCTCTGAATCATCAAATTGAAGAAGTCACACGATAAGGAATGACCTTGTCGGAAATCTCGTTTGGTATCGAACACAATATGCTCGACGGGAGCTTATATAAGATATTAAGGAGATTTATCCCAATGTTATTGTCTCCTTTTTTGTATGTTAAAAATCGGTTCACTAATTACGGCGAAGGACCGTTAGATAGACATTGCGAAATCGATTCCTCTCGGGTAAAAACGAAATAAAATTTATTTTGAGAACTGCTTTAACGATAACCTTTCCTAATGTTTCAACTGAAACCAATTAATTTTTTTTGTTTAACGTCAAATTTATCGTTACGATATAGCCTTGAAAAGAAACCTTCTCGGAAACATAATTTTTTCTCTTGAAATCCATTTTGGTACTGATATTTGTGGTATGTTTTAGGTCTGGAATTTGGAAAGGGCTTAGCGATAGAAAAAAAATTTAAGAAATTAAATGAGTTAATTTCCATTTTCAACTACCAAAAACTGCAAAGTAACTAATTGTTTTTAAATTTCACCCAAAGTGATATTATTCATTTCTTTTTTTGTACGACAAAATTGACGGAGCTTAGTTGGGAAGTTTTGATCGGAGAACGTCAAATAACGAGAAGGATAAATATTTCACCACTGCCGCCAGAAATTGACTCTGTCAACATTTCTGAGCAAGATAATAATAAATTAATAAAATAATTGTCTCCCAAATATAATCCTTCTGTAAATAATTTGACAGTCTCCGGTAGTTCGCTGTTAACTAGGGGTGAATTAGTCTCTTAGCAATCCCGTTGGTGGAACAAATTGCAATCGGCATGCCACGGTCCTTCCCTTTAATATACGTTCTCTGATTTTGATGGACTCATAGCGCGGAACTTGCGAAAGTTCCCGATTTCAGAGTCTCTGGTCAAGTTCGTCGCCGGCTAACCACGAAAATTATACACTGAGAGCAATATGTACTCGATTAAAATTAAAAATTAATTAATTTAAACCGCGGAGACTTTGTGGTATATATTACCAATAATGATTAGAGCAAAGGGAAACAAAAACCTCAAACTGTAAGAAATGCAATAATGTGAAACAGAACATTGACCATCAATGAAAGAGAAGTAATTGAACCATTTTGGCGCTTCAGCCAAGTTGATAAATTTCTATTTATATCACGCTACCATAATTTTCGGGGGTAGAGCTCAAACGTTACGTTCGTTTATGTTCATTTACATCAGTATAAAATAAAGTTAAAGCAATAAAACAGCCAGAATCATTTTGGAGAAGAAGAAAAATATGCTTAAGTTCGTATAAATTTTAGCGCTTTCAACTCTTCATATTTCATTCTTTATTCTTTTCAGATTTAAAATTTCAGTTTTTTTATGTGTTAAACCCTATCCCATAGACTGTCTAATTAACTTCCCTAGTGAAAAATTTATATGTTTATTGAAGTTTTGTAAACTGGTGAGAATTATATAAATTAAAGGAAGTACTGACGGACCAACCAAGAGCCCAACTGACCTGAAACTTGGAGGTGTATTCTGTGTTTAAGGTATACGCCCCATAAGAAAGTATTTTCCTGGATGTGGACCTGGGACTGATCTCTTAAAAAACAAATCGAATTTATTTTTAAATCGTTTGATTTATACCAAAATAATCATTTTCATACTTCGATTTGCTTGATATCTGGAACATATATAGCTCTTGGCGTAGACTAATATGTGGAAAACTTTTCCTTATTTGTCATTTATTTTAACATGGTAATTTATCCGATATAATAGAAGAAACAACGTAAAAATGTAATAAAAATATTATTAGAAATATCTTAGAACTTCATGAGCACCTAAAGCACCTAAAGCGTTAACTGACAGTCAGAGCATAATTAGCATGTACAATGCATATTTTTTCAGTGCATAAGTCGACCGTTCAATAGTTTAATAGTTTTATACGGCTCTGGTGTACATGCTTGTGTATATATCACCTACTAAATCAATCGGATTGCTTACAGCACTCCTCAAGCAAGTATATATCATTTGATCTACTATACGATCCTTTTTTAAATTTATTTAAGTATTTATTTATTGGCCGATTTGTCCCTTCTCTGGTTTGCGTTGCGACTTCGATTTGATACGAAATTATGAGGTACAGTCCTATTTGTTTTTTTACTGTAAAACTAAAGAATTAACAGCTGGGTATGGATGTATGGTATGTGTATGGCATACGTACAATATAAACTTTTTTGCCTAAAAGTATACTAAGTTTTCATTTAAAATTATTGCACAGTAAAAGTATTATATTGTATATATTTTTTAGCCTTCACTGTTATACGCTCGCTGAGGTATGTGTAATATCCCAACCAGCAAAAGAAAGCGCGTTGTTCGTAGCATACGTAAACACATATATACATACACATTTTATTTCATTGGCATACATAATTAAAAGAAAATATTTTATTTTTTTCCAATTTTAATGATTTTCAAATAATTGTAAGTATTTCCTTAAATTTATTATATAAGAAAAGAGTACTTTTCCCGCACAACCGATTCGCAAGATGAATACTAAGCGTTTGAAATTGAAAGAAATTTCAAAGAGATTTCCAATATGAGATTTTATTTTGAATAGGCGGGAGATGTCACTTTTGAAACTGAAATTATTTGACATTTGACAAATAGAAATACGTTTCGGCCATTTTGCTCATTCTAATGCCATATCTTCCTCTTTACTTTGAAATAAACATCCGATCAATTATATCAAAAATAACACCCCTTATTGGAAAACCCTGTATTTACATTTAATTTTTTTAGTTTTAGCAATAGTAGTCTTGAGCATGCTGGGAAGTATTCGGTTGGAAGCTTGGTTACTTATTTGGTAAAAATCTTAATTAATTTTCCACTGTACAAGTACGTGTAGGTGGCTCATAAATCAGTAAGATTTTAGTTCATTTCTTCGATACCCATTAATATATAAAAAATTGCAATGTAACCCATATAGCCTGTTATTTTAAACTACTATAACTCTCTCAATTTGCAAGTGATATTATTTGGAGAGCTTAGCAATTCATATAATTGAATATCCATTGGACACGGTTACGGTACCAATGCTTTTGCTAGCTGGGATGGCACTCCAAGGAAGTGAACTAATCAATTGGGTGCCATGGAAAATGGCATCAAGTGGGTATTATACTCAAATATGTATAATTATAATTTGCTAAATGCTCAATTAACGAAACCAATGCCATTCCGTTTGGTTAATATGAAAATAAACTTAACGAAATGATTTTGCTTCTCTTCAGCGATATGTTAACGAAACGAAATGATATTGTTAATGTTGAAAACGCACAAATTCATCATTAATGTTAATTTAAAAAAATGCCTGCTTGCTTAACAGCACAATTCAATTTTAACGTTTAACATTATCTGTTAATGGTTTAACATTGACGAGTCCATAAACATTATCTGTTAACGATTTAACATTAATGACAGCATTTTGTTTTGGGTAAAAACGAAATAAAATTTATTTTGATAACTGCTATAACCATGAGATTTTTAAATGTTTCAGCCGAATCATTCGAAATGTTTGGATTACGGTAAAATTTTATATTATGTTATTAAGGCATATCGTCTATTTCACTTTAAGGGGTTACATAGGTCTTGAAGTCCAAAAAAAGCTTATTTTCTTTAATTTTTTTAAAGGTACTAAACAAAGTATACAATTTATTTTAATTAAATATAAAACTACAATATGTGGACAACATTTGATGAAAATTTGAATGAAAAATAGTAAAAGTTAGGGCGTTGCCAGTGTCGTGAAGTAGATTGTACACAAGAAAGTGCTTTCGCGGATGTCATGATAACTTTTTCAATTTTTATCTGAAATCAAGAATTCATTTTTTTTCTAACAGTAGGTGAATTTTTTTGTACCTGAACGCATGAAAATTAAAAAAAAAATAAAAACTTAATTTTTTAAAAAACGTATTTTTTCGCATAAAATTAGGCCACATATTCGCTTGTGAATGAGTTGAAATCAAAGATAAAATAAATACTTCGTTCAGGGAATAGAAAAACATGCTTAAAAGAAGTGTGGAAAATTTGAACTCGATCGCTTCAATAGTTGTTGAGAAATTTTGACTACCGATTTCGATAAAGTGGTTTTAAGAAAAACGCGTTTAAAGTTTTATCATCGGTCAAGCCGTGACAAAGACGGCGGGTTATAAAGCTCTCTAATTTCTACAGTTTCGTCTCGATCGACTTGAAACTTGGGGAAAATATTTCTGACACTTTGTGACCTTTTGAAGTTTCATGACCTATGTAACCCCTTAATAACGATAATAGCATTTCTGCTTCTGCTTTCAAAAATTGTCTACATTTTCCGAATTGATATTTTTCAAAGGCTAAAGCTGCTGATTTTTTTTACAGGAAGATAGCAACGACTTTAAAAGTGTCATTCTGCCTGCTCATTCAGTTTCTGCCAAACTGATATGTGAATAGTGGTTTGCTCAGATCTGGGCAGCAGCATATTTCCCAGAAAAATACTACCTCATTTCACCTATCACCAAATTAATAGAACAATTTTATATATAATGTGTATAAATAAGATGTTCCGCATAAATAAATGAATCATTCTTTATCTAAATTGAGATAAAACCTAATTTGAAAGTAATGTATGTATATACATATGTATGCATGTGTTATTGTTTATTTTGTTTTTATGTACGCACACGTGAGTTACATTTTTCAGTTACTGCATAAATTTATTGTTGTTATCGGAACATTTGCTTCGTGGATTAGCAGTGAGAAAATCTCATTCCTCATACTCACATGCCGAACTGTATATTATAAAAAAGTGAGCGAATTTTATGGCCAAACAAGATCGTACTTGTGTATGTATGTATATTTATATATCAATGTTCAGTACTTGTTTTCATTGAAAAATCACAATCAACAACAACAACAATCATAAGCCGAATTCTCATACTAGTACAATTATAAATAGCCCATAATCAGCATAAGTCGAGAGACACTCATGTAAGAACGATGCTTGATTGCGACAAGTTCAGCTGTATATATATGTGTGTGTGCGTGTGTGCTCAACAGAGCAAGATGCTGTATACACACACACACACACACAAACACACACAAACACACACACACACAATTTACTCATGACGCAGAGTTGTTTGCGCCTAATTGTTTGATTAAATAAATTATTTCGAAAATTGTCAATTAAATAAAAACCGTAGCGTTCGCCAGTAAGCAGTAGCAGTCACAGTTATTGCGTATCCGTTAGCGGATCTCGAACGCAACCACTACGTCGCCAACTGTTAGGCAAAACCGCGAAACTAAATAAATAGTGAAAGTGTGAATAATTACAACATAAGAATAACCATTGGGTTGAAAGAAAATCAAAATGAAAAACATAATATTCATTTTCGCAGCTGTGCTACTTTGTCTCGGCGCTAGCTCAGTACGAGGTGACCTACTCGATTGCACTGATAAAATTTTGCCATCCCTCTCTGATGTACCCATCATTGGACCAAAGGTGGCCAATCCCGAGGATAGTGCTGAGCATCAGGTGCGCGATTTCTTTAAAAATGTCGGCTGTCAAATAAAGAAGGGTGCCGAGAAGGTCTCAGAGCAGGCGAAAAAGTTAGGCACTGAACTGAAGGAGGGCGCTAAGAAGTTCGGAGAGAAAGCAAAGGATTTGGGCACAGATATAAAGGATAAATTTGGAGATTTCAAAGAGAAGTTTTCAAGTGATTCTTCGGAGGAACGCGCAGTTCATAAGCTGCTTAATGTGGAATTAATAAATCCAGATATACTCAAAGCGGAGCAACAGTGCGGACATGGACATATTCTGGATGCTTTGGGCAATTGCAGTAAATTGAGAAAGTAATTTCAACTTGGAGCATACTCCTTATAGATTCGAACCTACTTGAGTGATATTTAATTCCAAAGATTTATAAAAGTAAAATATAGAATGATTGATATATGTAGAAGTGATAAACAAAATATCGAAATGAAATTGTAAAAATACTTTTATTAATCCAACTACAAGCAAATTTATAGATGATACACGTATTAGAAAGACATACCTAGAGACATTCATACAAACATATTATTGTTTAGTAAAAAATATTAATAATAATAAGAACAGCATTATGTATTGGGTTACCCCAAACGAAAGATTTTTTAAAAGAGTGTAAACACAGTTCTTAAATTTTTTAATAAACTCAATCAATCAATTATGTAATTTCCATTTCGTTGGATGACCTTTTTGCAAATTCTTAGTATAAAATGGATTTACTATGCTATATTTATATGCATTTGTAATATAAATTCTAATAAAGTGATTTAAAAATTGTGACGGAAATAATTTTTTTCCTTATAAAAATTAATATTTTAAATTTGATAAATACATACATATGTATATATTTTTCATTATTATACGGGGAATTCCACAGCTATTTTTTACAAAACCGTATCTATCACCAAATCGCAAAGTGATTACTACATACATATATGCCCTCAAAAGCTACACGAATTTCATATTTGCGGTTTTGAATCCTTTCAACCTTTCAAGTTGCTCCAAAGGAAGAAGTGTGTTAAATCACAAGATCACAATGTGGTCTATTACGATTACGTCTTCGGGAGATAGCACGGTCCGAAAACTATTCCCCTTAAAATATCGATAGTCTCGTTGCCAGCGGGTCACTTCGTGCCAATTTATTGAAAGTAAATGTTCAATGTCAAGCAACTACGGTCATAAAAAATCGATTAACCTTCCCTCGATAGCCTCATTCATTCACGGTAACTGTTGCTCCAGCGAAAAATGAGGTCTATTGACCCCGCCTTACCATAAACCGCAGCAAACTTTGTAGATAGAGGGACTTTTCAACAGTAAAACTTGGGTTTTCCAAGCATCAGATGCAACAGTTTTGCTTATTGAAGTACCCCTCGAGGTGGAAATGGAACAATCAGCAAAGACACATCATAGTTGATTATCGGCAGGCCTTAATGCCCAGGATTTAAAACAAAAGTATTTTTGCCGAATTCCAAATAGCGATGACATTACTAAATTGTCCTAACAGCTCCACTTTTTCAACCAATTTCTGTATTGCAATCCAAGAAATTGCTTCACAACGGCTCAAAAATTTTTTAGTCTTGCGAATCGTGTGTGCCACGCTTTAAATGTTTTTGTTGGGAATTTTAAAAATTGCCAATCAATTCGTTGTCAAACATAAAAAATTAATGTTACCGCTGAAGCGATTTTCGACCGAGCTCCTCCTTCGATTTGTGGTTTTGCGTCTTAATGTTTTTCCAACAACTGGGGAGAACCTACAGTTTATACTTGAGCGCCTCCGAGCGGCTGATAGTTCTTTTATGAGGAGCCTTGTATACCATTTCCGAAATACACTTGGCCGAGGGGCGACCTAAATGAGAAAATTTAACTTAATTTTTTGTTTAAATTAATTTCCTTTTTGGATATTAGTACGACGCCAGGAATCCGAGCCTTCCGAATGGCAGTATGCAATGCTAACCACTCGACTATCGCGGCCGTCAATGCGCTTGGAATGCTTTATTATTACGGATTGTTCCAAAATTTCATATTAATTTGGATTTATGACTCGGTTTCGAGCAGAATTTTCAGAATTAAATGATTTTTTGCCACCTGGGTGACTGCTCAGATGCAGTAGATTTTATTGTTTCAAAAATAAACAAACGAATATTTTTGATTTTGAAGTATTTTTCATGTGAAGGTAATCAAATATATAAATAATAATAATTGGTTACTAATTTCATGTCAGAATGTAAAAGTCATAAATTTAATATAAAGAATAGTAAAACATAGAAGTTAATTTTCATAAGCATGGTCAAAATTAGATACCACGATTGGTTGTGGAGTTTACTCAAGAGACCTTGGTATCTGTAAGTCCTTTCGTATACCGGATCCCTATAGTACTTTTATTGTGGAATTGGCGGCTATACAAAAGGCTGTGAATTGTCTCAGCTCAGAGAGACAAGAGTACTAGGCATAACATCAGTTATTTAAAAAAGATTGTAAAACACTAAATAATATAAAACCAAAAATCGAACAATTTTTTACCATGATTTATAATATTTTTTTATTTCTTTATATTTAAAAAAAATACTTGTATAATATAATGAAAAATTTAAATTATGGTCTCTTCAAATGCAATTTTTACTTATTGCATTTACCATTTAAAGTTTCTAAGTCTACCTACTCTCGCAAGTCAAAGAGAAATGTTTAATCATTAACAGTAATGTTAATGCTTTCATTAGAGTTAAGTCGTTAAGAGATAATGTTAAATTGTTAACAGATCATGTTAATTCGTTAAAAGATAATGTTAAATCGTTGACAGATAATGTTGATACTCTCGGCATTGTTAAATCGTTCACTGATGATGTTATGTCGTTAACAGATAATATTAAAACATTAACAGATACTGTTAAATGTTAAAAATGCAGTGAGCTGTTATATCACAGCAAGGAGCCGCTTTAATTAATTAACGATGAGTTTGTGCGTTTTCAACATTACCAATTTGCTTTCGTTTCGTTAACTTTGCCGATACGAAATAAAATCATTTCGTTTAGTTTATTTTTCATATTGACAAAATTAAGTGACATCGTTTCATTAGTTCAGCAACTCTCTTTAAAGCATTTAAGGCTTTAAATCTCTCTTAATTTATAGAATTACATTTATAGAATTATTTTATAAAAAGCTGAACTATAAAGTTGAACTAATAGTCATATTATATGTTTGATTTTCGTTGTTCATTAACCATCTGTTTGATCATTAAAATGGTGTAGATTTCTACTTAATGTTAATTAATATTATTTTAAATAAATTACTGACTGCGCGCAGAAGAAGCAGAAACTGTATACGAATTTCAACCACAACGAATGTGTGTCAAATATATTAAGTGGAAAGAAAATAAGATTTTTAAGTTGAAAAACAAAAGAAAAACTTAAACTTGATGTAAATATTGGACGCTTAACCACCAAACCGCAGATAAGTAAATAAAATACAACTTCGCTTACTCATATCGGAAGGGTTACGGCTTAATCGAACAACAGGTTCCGATTACTATTTCGTATGTACACTCAGCCAAATCACAACAATCGAAGCCCTTAATTGGAAAACAAAACAAATATGCAGCAACAAAACAGTGTCAACTTGAAAGATATGCATGGAGCAAAAAGAAAGATAGAAACGAAAGAAGAATTGCAGCTTTTACCAAAGGTAACATAAATAAAACAATAAACAACAAACAAGTGATACCCAGCGCAAGTCATTCCACCAGTTGAGTGACAACAACGAGCTGAAAGTTTTCGATCCACCAGCCTCAACTTGTACTGGTCATGGGGCGCATTTACCTACAATTGTAGCTCATGGTATGTACGTGTATATATGTAGGTATGTATGTATGTATGTTTAAGTAAACTATATAATTCAGCTAGTCCAACAAGTGGATGGGAAGACCTGAGAAATGTTTGAGCAATCTACTGCAACACCTGCAAAACAAGTTTCAGTAAAGCTTTGTACACCAAACGTTGCGGGCAGAACTCTTTGACAACGCATAGTCGCACATATTTTTGAGAGACGTATAAACATATATTGAAACAACAACTATTTGTTTGGTTTACTCTATAAGAAAAAAATGAAATTTCTTCAAATTTCTACTTTACTTACTTTTGCGTTACTTACTTGCGTCGTCTCACTAACAAACGCCGCGGTAATTTGTATCGATGAATCATCTTTGGATAAAGTACACGATGGAAAAGTCAACGAACGCCAAAGTAATGAAGATGGAATTACGCTAAATTCCACCGATTTAAGCACTGCTGCTACTAATGGCACACAACACGGTCAGAGTCAGGTTACACAGTTTCTACAGACGGTGCAGGATACACTGGAGAAGGCCAAACCTTGGGTATTTGAAATGGAGAAAGAGGCAAAACGGTTGGAAGAGACCGCTAAACGTTTCGGCGAAGGAGTTATACGCGGCCTGGGTAAATTTGTTGATCGCTTGATTGGTACAGCCAATGGTAATGGTAGTGGCAGTGGCAGTGGCAGTGGTGCGGCAAAGCCGAACAGCGGTGACGAGCCCTCAACCACCAATCCTTTAGAAACTACCAATACGGATGAGAAACAATCTGATATGGCGACTTCAACAGCGTCAGCTGTTGCTGTTGCTGAAGTTGCGGTTGAAGCTGCTGCGGCTGCGGCTGCGGCCGATGCAGGTGCGGTTGATGATGCAGAGAATGAAATTTCTGGACAACAAGACGATAGTACACTTTGCCCCGACGGCTTTGTAGCTGATGCAAATGGAATCTGTCTGCGTAATCATAAATGAGGCGATGAGCTAAATTCTTCTTAAATGCGTATATATGTACATATGTATGTATGTATGTATGTAGCACTTAAAAGCGAATTAAATGAAATGGTTTATGCAAAATGTATGGCAGATTTTGTTTAAAGAATAAGTAAATGGTTAATTTAACCTTAGTGAAAATATAGAAAGTGTCATTTAGATTTACCGCAGAAAAATTGTGTTTTGATAAATTTTACGGAATTTCAATAAATAAATAGTTGGAATTGGAGTTGTCAATAAAAATTCAAATAAGAACTGCAATAATTTAAAATGAAATATTTTTCTGCATTTTGACGGAAATTTTACAGATTTCTTTTGATATCGTGTACCCAAAATTTTGGAAAGCTCAAATTTTTTCCAATAAAAAACCAATAATTTGAATACAAGTTGTTGCTTTACTATCAATCGAAAATTATCTTGAGTGGCCAGTCGATTTCACCTGTCTCTATGATAAACACAACGTCACACAGAATTACAATAAGCTCGCGTGGTAGCTTGGCTTTTGGCGAGTTGTCAAAAACTTATCTCCTTCGTTAAGACAACGGCAATAGTCGACCAAAGAGCAGGAACTACATCAACAGTTCATCCGTCCAACATTATATTTCGCTTAAAGGAGATTATAGAAAATGTTTGCTACTTTTCCTAAAAAATAATTGAAAATTTAAGCTTCTTTTGCATAAAGGTTAATCTACATTAGCGCTTCACAATCCCTTAAACAATTCTACAGTCGAAGTATAGATACTGCTTAGGAGATTATAGAATCAACAACAGCACGACATTAGTTTCTTTTCTTTGCTATTTGGCTGCAGTTAGCAATATTAAGTGAATTAAGGTCACTCTCCACCTAGTGCTTCATGAACGAGCCAACACAGCCACTGTCTCCTTATTCGCTGAACAAAGCCTTCTTTTAATGTCGTTCCATTTTCTGCGATATTCGCCGTTGTTAGTGCACTCTCAAGGCCGACTCAACAGATGTAGACATCGTGCATGCTTTTATAACATAACGAGAATTATGAGAGCCTTGTAGAGTTTGGTTTTGGTTCACGGAGAGGGACCTAACTTTTCAATTGCATATTCAATTCAAAGTAGTACCTTTTGGCAAGTGTGAACCTGTGTTAGATTTCAAAGTTGCTCGCTGGGCAGAGTATTATCTACGATCTCGAAGTTATGAAAGTCAATTGGCGTTACGAAGCAAGTTCGTCGACTGCTTGTTTGATTATTATTTTCTTGAGCATCAAATTGAAGAGGTCGCACGATAACGAGTCGCCCTGTCTGAAACTCGTTTGGTACCGAACGGCTCAAAGGTGTTTTTGGTGTATGCGGCTTTGTAGGATACATTTTGCAAGAACGAACTTTTTGCTGATGCCATGTTGGCGGTATTGCAAGTCCATGCTAAGGACGAATCCATTTGTAATTTTTTTTGCTGCTCAGAGTGTCTCGACTACATGTACCTCTTTAACAGTCGCCTTTCTGCCGCCTCTTATTTCTCAAAACGCTTATTTGAAGTAAAGCATGCACATTGAGCAAGTTGCCTTCTCTCAGATGTTAAGCATTTGGTTGTATTTTTTTTTCATTTATTAATGAATTGGTGATTTCATAAAACTAACTTTTGTCCAAAAAAGAAAAAAAATTTACCTGAAATCATATTTGCAAAACTATTATATTAAAAAAAAGGAGTTAAAAAATATTTCATCATTATAACAAGAGCGCTAGAGCGGAACAGCTGTTCCATCCTGGTCAAGCACATATTTAATGCTGGCGTTAAACTTGAAAATAAATTTGCGGTTCGCTTTGAATCAGCGCCGAAATCCACTTAGTTCAAAACTCAAACGTATAAAGTAAGTGACAGTCAGTACACTTTGAATATTCACAACGTCCACAACACGTCGCCACCAACACTAATCGATATATTATTAATTTACATTCGTGTATCAACAATAACAGAATCCAGTTTTCGCAAAAAGCAATCAACAGCATTCATATAAACACCCAGACAGCAGCGCGAAAACGCACACTTTGCGCAAAAATCAATTTAAGGCGAAAAGTAAAGAAATGCGCTTCTTCAAAAACTGCTCCAAAGTGCTCATTTGTCTTATCTTAATCATCGTCATGCAATTAGGCAGTTTAGCGGAGTCGAAGATATTTGAAACCAGACCAGTACCGACAGACCTCACTGTACGCAGACAGGCGATACCAAAACGTCCGAAAAAGAAAGGCTCGTAAAAAGTTTAGTTGAATTTGTGTATTTGTTGGCGCAATCGTATTTATTTTAGCAACAAAAATTAGTCTAAAACTATGTATGTGAAGTTGGTGTTAATGTCTGAGTGATTTGTACGTGTTATTAATTTAAAAACGATTATTATATTATAAATTTGAAGTGCAGGTGATATATACATGCAAATATATATTTATTTATTTATCAGTGTTATACACGTGGCAAATGTACATGTGTATTTGTAAACGAGTTATTTTTGCAATAAATATAAGTATGTATTTAAAAGTGAAACATATCGTACAGGCCTAATGAATAAATTAGTGGAATTCAAATTGCAGCGTAACGATAAATTTCACGTTCATCGACAATTTTTTGATGTTTCGGTTGAAATTTTCGGAAACGTTAACGTTAAAGCACTGATCAGATTGAATTTCTTTTCGGTTTTACCTAAAACGAAATGCTGTCTTTAATGTTAAATCGTTAACAGATAATGTTTAATCGTTAACAGATAATGTTTAATCGTTAACAGATGATGTTAAATCGTTAGCAGATAATACTAATGCTCTCGTCAATTTTAAATCGTTAGCAGATAATGTTAAATCGCTGGCAGATAATGTTAAATGTTAATGTTAATTAGTATATAATTTTAAAACATTAACAGTCAATGTTAAATCGTTAGCAAATAATGTTAAATCATTAACAGATAATGTTAAAAGATAAAATTGAAATGTGCCATTAATATGTAATTTCATTATGCAGGCATTTCAAAATTAACGTTAACAATGAAAATGTTAACGATTTCATTTCGTTTTGATAACTTAGCGCTGAAATTTGACGATTTCATTTCGTTCAGTTAATTTTTCTTGTAAGCGAAACGAAATGATTTCATTGCATTTATTGATCATTCCTGGATATATGACTTTATTTTCTTATATGCACTCTGTATTTCTTTTTAAATATAATAAAATTGAAAGGTGCTGTATTAAATAAATCTCACAGTGGATATTATAGACATTTGTTGTTGGGCGATAAGTTATGAACTCCTTTAGAAAACCAAATATTATATGTAATCAAGCTGAATAAAATATAATATTGGTATATGCATTTGTGTGGTATTACACACTTACGAAAGCTTAACTTAACTTAAGTAAAAAATATCTCGAAAAGGTTTAAATATCAAAAATAAATACTAATTTCTATACGGTAAATTTAAGTACAATTTTGTCGAATTTGGGAATAATATGCGGCAGGAAGCGTCCGGGAATGAGTGAGGTCATTTTAGAAATATTCTAAATAGAAAATATCAAAGAGCTTCTTTTTTAATGTACCTCAAACACTATTTCTTGCATCTGTGTTAGCTTTAATCTCCAAAAGTAATCACTACCCAAAATTCGAACTCCCTTCATCATTATTACCTATGCTGGTATTTCGCGCAGAAATATTGTGTTTTCTCCCCAAAAGCTATACATTTAAAGGTAATGACAATTGTTACTGCTCAACAGTTCAAAACTCGCTGATTGAGCTTCGCTTTCTACGTCATTGCTGTGAGTGTCCATGATTCATCAGCGATGAACAGAGTCTAACAACCGCTTAGCAATATTTAACATACATATATGATGTTGTTTATATTCAAAATCAAATCATTACGTACACGTGAACGGTAGACAAACCAAAATATCTGCAAGCAAAAATGTTTGTCAAAAAATAAATGCACATCTCAAATAGCCGAGAGTTTGGTAGAAAAAATAAGAAACATAAACAACAATAGAACACCTAAAACATCAGAAAAGAATATATATACATTTGTACGTAATCCGCTAAAATGCCAAATGCTTTTAATAGATTTTGAATGAGTTTTTTGAAATTATATATAAGACCAGAAAGTTTCCGGAAATTGTCGTTTAAACTGCATCCGCTGAATATTTTTTAGCACTTTTTTTGTTAAGTTGGTAGCACTGTTCTTGATTACATTGCCAAAAATGAGCGCGATCCGTCAACCAGTTTGTTTGCAGCAGCTGTGGCAATTAGTCAACCTCAGTTCCCTTGGCGAATTTTTTTTTCGGCCTCAATTGAGTCGAAACGGGTTCCACGGAATAGTAACTTGAGCTTTGGAAGCAATAAAAAGTCGCAAGAGGCCAAATCCGGTGAATACGGTAGTTGATCGATCGTATTGAACGACTTTTTGATCTTAAGGGGTACACCTGGTGTAATGGCCTTAAAAAAGGTGAATTTTATTTCAAAATTTTAAGAATATATTTAAACATGTTTCAAGAATATACATTGAAATTTTTGAAGAACAAAATTATATATTTTTTAAGTTATAGCCGATCTCAACGGCGCGATAAAAAGATCCTTCACTGCTGCAGTGATTCCGGCCTTCTCCGTGGGTGAAATCTAAGAAAAGAAAAGAAAAAAAAATTCTCGTTAAACTAGATAATATTGTTTGTACAATGACCTACTATAAAATAAAATCAAAAATGGACAATATGGCGGCGTTTAAAAAAAATAGTCGAATTTTATCTAAACCTTGGTCGTTTTTGGCCTGCCGAAATTGGGTTTTTTGGTCAAGTCAAAAATCTATAGGTCATTGTACGGAGAACTATATATAGAACATGAAAAAAAATTCGATAGTGATCAGATCATTTGTTTTTGAGTAATCACTGCAGCAAATTCGGAAAAGGCTGTTTCGAGAAAAACGCGTTCAAAGATAAAATGATCGTTTTCACTCGTTGCTAATGAGACTATAACTCAAAAAATTTTTGAAATATCAATTCGAAATTTTAATATGTTACACACACTAGGTGTGCCCCTTAAAAGTATACTGGAGGTTAAGAAGTTTTTGGCTTAAATAAAAATATGTTATAAATAATAAAGAAGAACAAATATCAGAGATTCGCAGTGGTTATTGGCAAACCGGATGCCTGAGAAGCTTATGAATGAAAACTTTGTAATTATATCCACACACTGACTCTTCTTCTTTAAACCGCATTTTTATTCAAAATTTTATGGATGACTTTGAAGATGGAAAAAGCAACTAATTGTATATCTCTTGTGTAGACATCCAGACACCATTGAGAAACAATTACGACAAATTTGTTTGGTTGAACTACTTTCTGTGCGAAATGTAACTAAATATGTAAGTATATAGGTTGTTGTAATTAATTTATAAACAAAAACAAAAAAAAGCTAATTGTATTCAATAAAGATGATCAATATGTGACTGTTATTATGTCAATATACTCATGTCAGGCCAATGTGGAAATCTGGTCCGGATTTTGCTCGGTCCACTAGATAAAAAGAGGATCCCACATTCTACCCCAATAACCTTGAGATTAGCCTCATAATTATCATACATTCGACAGCACAGTAATGAGACGCCTCTATGCCGCTATGTCTGAATTTGTCCTTCCTGCAAACTTATACAGCTGTGTAAACTAACGCTGGACAGCAACAGAGGTGAAGTGACGATTGGGAAGGACCTCTCCGAGACGTTCGGTTCCAAACAAAGCTTCAGACGGGCGATTTCATCAATTTGATGACGGGGAAAATAATAAGAGTTGCAGAGCTGAATAGAAAAGCTACAATCTTCTACATGGGTGTACAACTACAATATACCGATGACTTTGAAAACATCGGCTATAACAACCTCGTCGTTAGTACTGCCTTCACCTGGCTTAAGAAAGATGCGAAGCCAATGGGTATGGTAGTGAACGTGCACAAGACAAAATATCTCCTGCCATCACACAATCAGTCATCAAATTCACGACTCGGCTTTCACGACACTGTTGACAGTCATAATTTTGAAGTCGTAGATAATTTCGTCTACATAGGTACCAGCATTGACAGTAATAGTAATATCAACCTTGAAATCCAGCGCAGAATCACTTCTGCCAATAGGTGCTACTTTGGACTGAGTAGACAATTGAAAAGTAAAGTGTTCCTCTACGAACTAAAACTAACAAGAAGTCAATTCACTCATCATTCCCGTCCTACTATATGGTGCTGAAGCGTGGATGATGTCGACATCCGATGACACAGCCCCGGGAGCATTCGATAGAAAAGTTATGCGAAAGATCTATGGTCGTTTGCGCATTGGCTGCGGTGATTATCGCGGATGATGGAACGATGAGCTGTACGAGTTATACAATGACATTGATATAGTTCATAGAATGAAGAGACAGTGGGTACGCGGACTAGGTCACGTCGTCTGAATGGCTAAAAGCTTTTCTTCTTTGAAAGTAAAAATGCAGCACGCGCCGGTGGTGGCAAAGAGGGAAGACCACTCCGTTGAAAGGATCAGGTTGAGAGCGACCTTCCAACAGGACCAAACCACGAAGGAAGGAACGAATGGCGCGCTGTTGTTGAATCGCGTTAGCGTTAACCACCCCATGAAGAAGAATTAGAAAAATCCTTAAACCAGTTTTTATAATATGGTATGAATCGAATGGTTTCTATTCCTCTGATATGCAATTTTCAAGCTTATTGCCGGAACACCTAATTTGTTATGGTTAAAAGAAGCGACCTCAGTATATGTGTGATTATCAAAGTCAATCCTTCACTACTTTCAATATGCGCCATTCTTATCTCTACCAACTAAGGCTGAATATCGCTAATCATTGCTTTCCTCCAATTTGATTCTCACCGAGCTAATACCCCATGAGCACCTGTGAAGGCATTTACCACTGGTGAATGATGATCTGTATGTGATATGGTGCGTCAATGGTACAGTCCAGCGAATTGAGGAAAGTGTAAACACTGTCTAAGTCACGTGATTCCAGTAGAACACACTTTACAGTGTAGACATCTACTCCGTTTGTGGGACTTTCAAAGTGAAGAAAAAACTGGCGTTCCATCATCGCTCAGACTACTAGCCATATATTATTCAGCGCTGTGTTATACTGCTTTAGACAAATTCTACTTACCGATGACAGTTGCAAATAAAATTATATATATAAAATTGTCGCTTTGTAACCGCTTAAGCGATTTTTTTGGCCGAGCTCCTCCTCCAATTTGTGAAATACACTCGGAGGGGTGGACATTCCCTGCCGAGCTGCCGCCGCCAACAACTAAAATTACCCACATTAAAATGGTTAAAGTCATAATCCTTCCTATGCTGGCTAATGCGAATACAGTATTTCAGTACGAGATTTTTCGTCCATTTAGGTAACAAATGTAAGTATGTACTGAAGATCTCGAAAGGGCATTCTTCCATTGTTTACCCATGATTTGCTCTTTCTCGTTAAACTCTCGTACTGTCGGTAACATTAGCCCATTTACTATTCTTATTACAGGAAAACTCGAATTCAAAATAAATTTTTAATACGTTATAAGTTATTTAATTACACTGAGATATAGTTTTCTTTTTAAATTGAGTAGAGAAAAACTAATATGGTCTTTAGTATACTACATTTTGAATGGCTTTCGTTTGGATTTTATGAAAATTTCCCAAAAATTTAGGAAAACAGTGAAATTCTCATATAGGCACTTTTTTGACCGGCCCTAAAAGAGTTAAGGTCATTATCGCTATTTCAAAATTGTATGTAAACTTACTAAACCCTGCGACTGTTGTTCGCTTTGCGATATTTTACATAGCCGCGAGGATCTCCTTGTCCCATCACCAATACAGTGGTGGCAACGAACAAATTTGCTTGAATACCCGCAAGTAGGCTTTGCATAATTTTAGGCGTTAAATTAGACAAAAAATTCACTTAAGACTATTGTGAATCTACAATACATGAACTGGTTTGATTGTTCACCCTCACGCTCGCCGCTCGCCGCTCGTCTCTGCGTACCCTAAAGTAGTTTATGGTTCACACGAAAAAGCTCGAGATGTGTTGTTTTAGCGAAAATCATTTATGAGGGCAATTGATAACTGCAAGTTTTCGATTCAGTTTTCTTCCGACTTTTGCTCGCACCATTTCGTGTTATTTCGAAACGCGCTTAATAATCAAATAAAAAATCATAGCAACATTTGAACTTTCAAAATTTCCGAAATAAAATAATTAAATTTTCACATTTTACGAATTCGCCTGGAAAAACCAAATAAAAAAATACATAAGATGAAGTCGTTCACTTTGCTCGTAATGCTGGCACTTGCCCTCTGTTTGACTTATGTCCACGCTGACTGTGGTGACTCTTCACAGAGCAACGAAGATGGTGAAGTTAAGCAGTTCTTTAAGAATTTAGGCTGTAAAATACAAAAGGGTGCCGAAAACTTGCAGGAGAACGCCAAACCATGGGCCGATAAAATAGGTTCATCAGCTAAGGAATTCGGTAGTACAGTGGCTCAGAAGTACGACGAGTTGAAGCACAAATTGACAGACGACAACAATTCGGATGGCCCATCAACACCGTTCCCAGTGGCGAATGCACCCACTGAGAAAGTACCACTGGCTCCGTTGAGTGGAGAAGCAGCAGCAGCACCAGCAGCAGGTTCCAATAACAACAATCCTGCTGTAGCTCAACCTGTCGCAGCGACTGTCTAAGGCAAAAAATAAAATAAAATAAAAACACAACAGTAAAAGCGAAATCCATTCATGACGTTTGTATAATCAAAATATCATCTCGGGCGTCCCAATGTTCTTTAGCATTCTCTAACTTTGTGAGGTGCAATATTGTAGTTATCCAAATTTCAATTGGCGTTTTATTTCGGCATTTTTGCGGCATAAAGTAATAAATTATTTAATAGTTACAGTGAAATGTTGACGGCTTTGGTCAAATACTCGACTACTTTATTATATATGTGTATGTATGTATTTTGTGATTAATTTTCTCGAAATTCCCATTGGGCCATAATTTGTGACGTCAGTGCGATATTAAATTTAATACAACTTTTAATCTGAAGACCTGTAAACTATATTTTTAAAGATGATACTAAAAATTAATAAAAAAAATGTATAAATAAAAAAATCTAATTTTTGAAAAAATTTAAAAATTTTTGTTTACATTTAATAATTATGGATCGTATCGTACCTAAATATTGGTGGAAAAAATTACTATTGATTAGTATATTACGAGAGAAATATTTACTTAGCGAATTACCAAGAGCGATTAGCTATGTACATATATGTCCCTGATGCTTGTAAATATTTCAGCCTAGAAAGATCCAGTGATAGAGATTCAGCTCTTACAAAAAAAAAATTTTACTTGAATCTTCTTGGTTATAATTTCACGAAATGTAACCAGATGCAGAACAAATATTAATAATTAAATAAAGTAAAAGCTATTAATACGATTAAACTGGACACTCAGTTTTGTCGAGATATATTTGGTAGACCGTGGAATACTTTGGTCGATGCTGAGAAACACCCAATGAAATATTGAAATAAAATGTAAATCAGAAAATCTCAGAGATTTGCTTCAAAACAGATGCACAAAATAGAAAGAAGAATTTGGCTTAGTAATGGTCATAGCAATAGAAAGCAGTACTCTTTTGAAACTTGAATAACTATTGATTTAAATAACTTTTTATTACTTTTTTTGCACAAAATTTATTTGTTGCTTTCTATTTTATTTGCATATTCTTTTGAAAATAATACCGTCCAACACAATTTTTGACCCACGAAAAAATCAAAAATTTTCGGAAACTAGCGCCAATGCTGCTGTGCGTTTTGATAGATCAAGTCGTTTAAATTAATAGTGACAAGACATGATCTCTTTTAAAAATTAATAATAATTTATAAAAATTTCTATATGGCGCATTTGTGGACGCTGATTAAAATTTGATGTCAAATTTTCCAAATTCAAAATGGCGGTCAAAATATATATTTTTTTATAAAGCTTGGTATATGGGGTTAATTGGAGTCGTTGATTATGAATTTGATGTGAGATTTTCATAGTTCCAAAATAGCACATTTTAATAGCCAATAAAGACTGCCTTCATTTTGGATGCAAAAACAAAGTTTATTTTTTTGTGCATTTTGCCCCACATTTTCCAGCGACTAAGTGGTAATAAGTGGTATTTCCTTACGAATATTGCCTTGGAGCTAAGCTGTGGCTTGTTGAAATACCTTAACAAAAAAATGGGTCAGCGCGTCGGCCGGTCGAAATCGCTACTTTTCGATGTTATGCGTCAGTTGAACATTCTGCTTCATTAAACCGCGACTAGTTTGTGCTGTGGCTTAGTCATGTTGGAACCAGAAATAGATCATGTCATTTCCAGTAATTTCCGAAGACACATAGTTACACAGCATCGCTCTGCAGCGCGCGCCATCGATCGTAACGGTGTTGTCAGTCTCGTTCTCGTAAAAATACTGCCCGATTATCTTTTTGGCCGGTACGCCGCGCCAATCGGTCACTTTTTGATCATAGAAAGACTTATCAAATCTCTAAAAAGTATTACCGTCGGCTCAAAAATTGGTGTTTTACTTGTTAACCGCCTCATTTAATGTGAAATGCGCGCATGATGATTTTTTAGTCATTTCGAAAACTTGTATATGAGATGTGTCCAAAACTATTATTAATTTCGAATTTTGCCTGCTAATCTACATACAATTGCGCTATAAAAATATTCAACATTTTGCTTTGCCTTTTGTTTCTGGGTTGAAGGGATCGATTCAACCAGATGGTTGAGCTGGTTGTGCTCTTTCCGTCGTTCCATCGAAAAAGAAAGTTTTCCTTAGCACCAGTTCTATTTGCGATCGAAATTTAGAAACTTTCGAATGGGTGGCACGTCGGTTCATTTTTTATTCAAATCAATAGTAAAAATCCAATGACACGACAAACAGTTGGTGTTTTTAAATCCTTTGCAAAACCCTTAAAGTTGTTGATTTGGTAATACTATTTTCGGTGCTGAGGTGCTTTTCCACAATTTTAGACTAGCTAAAGTACGTTGATACTTCTGGTAACTATCCCAATTAAGTAGTAAAATTTGGCATAGATTTTATAAGTTAAAAAGAAATCTTTTCAAAATTCCTACACACCACATACATACATAATAATCAGCGCTTTGGGTTCTTTTATTTTTCCAACAAATGACCTAAAGTTCATAATAAGTCGTCTCCATACGGCGAATATATTTTTACGTGGAGTTTTTTTTCATGTCAGAAAGGCACTTGAAGGGCTAGACATTCTCTACCGAGAGGCGATCGCAATTAAAATAATCAACATAATTTTTAATTTCTTTTGCCCTCCGAATGGTAGTACGCAATACTAACCTAACCCCTCGGTATATACCATAATTTAAGCAAACTCTCTTGTGGCTTTTGATTAGCACTTAGAAGCGAGTTTTTCGAGAAAAAAATCTTTTGGAAAATTAATGAGTTTCAGAAATGCTTTCTATACACTGGTTCCATTTGGGAACCTCATGACCTCCTGTTTGTAAGTATAAAGAAATACCCTTACTTGGAAAGAAAGAAAGAAAACGATAATGCCAAATACATTCAATCCATGATACGCTGTTTTATAAAAGCCTAAATCGCAGTAGTCGATCAATATGGCAAATACATATATGTCAACTAAATTGTCAAGTTAACATATACATATGTGTGTAAATTGATATATACTTTACTAATTCGTATATTATTATAAGATCACGTTTCTAATTTATGTTTATACAGGGTGTTTTTAGTTTAACCATCAAATATATTTTAAGGTTAAATTCCATAGTTTGGACATTAATTAAGTTATCAACTTGGCAGTGGACATTTTTTAAATTTTTTTAATTGGCTGCCAAATATAATATGACGCGGTTGAAATCAGTTAAGGGGACCCTCCCCTGATAATGGGCAAAAATCAGGCAAAGTTTGTATTTTTGTTGTGGGGCAATGAAAAGGCGTAGGAACTTCCGGTTTTGACTATTAAATTTTTTGTATTATTTGAGATTCTAAAAAAAAAAAAAATAGTCGAATTCTGACGGCTTCTGCGCGAAAAACTTGGCCCAACAACTTCAGATCTACAGCTTCTTCTAAAATCGTTATCATTACTTGAAGATCCTAAAATTTTCTACCTTCTGAGCCTTAGTATAATGTAATATGTTTCAAATTTAAAGATAAATTTTTTTGCTTATTGCAATTAAAAGTTTATATTTTTTGCTACTTTTTTTATTTCAATTACGTTAAAAAAATTTAAATAATTAATTATTAATGCTAATCTTAGGCTCAAGATGTACAAAAACAATATACTTTTAAACAGTTTTTAGATAAAAGTAATCGGACGGATAGATCAAGCAAGGGCTTGTAGTTAGATCGGAAACGTTTTTTGAAAGTTCGCAGCATGCGTGAGACAGGTGTGTTCGAGAAGCTGCCATTTGAAAAATATCCATCGTATTGCACAATCCCTTTAAACACCTACCCTACAAATACATGCCTTTATCTTTTGCGTAAAAATCATTTTTTTTTTATCAAAAATCAGTACAGGGTCCCCTTGAGCGATTTCCATCCGAACTTCTCCTCCAAGGCTTTTTCTACGTATGGCTAGGCGTATATAATTTTTTTTTTATAATTTTGAATTTGCCTCGTCAAAAAGGGTACTTATGCTATCATATGTTTTCAAGAAAAATACCCGTACATTTATCTGACAGATTATTTAATTTCTCAAAAGATTATTGTTGTTCCCAGGAATCTTGAGTTTCACCTGCATTGCCTCTTGGGCGTATAAAATGATTTTTAAATCTTTGCAGTCAGTGCAAATCAGACTAAATATATTTAACATATGTATATATGTACATCTTTTTTTCTATTCATACATTTAATGGCACACACATACATATGCATGTACTAGCATTGATCGCGTGAAACAGTTTCTGGGGTATATAAAACTGCTCCGGTATGAAAAACAAGTTTTTGTTTATGAAAATTTAAAAAATTAAGCTTTCTACATTAAAGAGGTAAATAAACCTGGCAGCTGGAATCTTGATTTGTTGCTACAACATTTAAACATGAAATTAAAGCTTAGCACACTTTATAGAAAATTATCCAATATTTCGTTTTGAAAACTTCTTATAATAAGTTAATTAATATAGAATATGTCAACTATTTAACTTTAGATGAAAAAACTATATTAAAAAAAAGGAGAAATCAAAAGTCTTTTTGATTTAAACACAAAACACAGAGAAGTTCCAAGTTTCATTGGTGTTTCCGTGGGTGTGATTTTAAAAATAAGAAAGTCATAATGCCCTGTATGCAAGAAGAACAAGCTTGGGCGAATGCCAATTTTGAGCGCCACACTGGAAATACCCATGGTTAGGCAGATAAAGTTCATTGTATATGAAAATGCGGGCCAAATGAGGTGTGATCTCCACCATGGTGATGGAATAGATATAACAAAGGAAGCTATCAGTTAGAATTTGCGGAAAACGGATTGCACGGAAGTGTTAAAGTAAAAAAAGCCACCCTTGACAAAATGAAACTTTGCAAAAAAATTATAAAACCTACAATCGAATTGACTGGATCTGGACCATATTGTCAGACGAAATAGAAATAAACCACTTGGGAAGAGATAGTCGGCAAGAGATTTGGAGAAACCAGCACAAACTTTTGACCAGCCGCATTTTTCAACCAACGTTGAAGTTTGAAGAGGATAATGTAATGATGTGGGGATGTATGAGACTGGAGGGGATTGGAGAGTGTATAAGTGTTACCGGGCAAATTAATGCCAACTAATATGTTGAGATCCTACAACAAGGCATCTTAGAAGTGTGGGCGACTTCTCGCGTTGCCGAAGCTTCGCTTAACAAAAACAGTTTGTCGACTGGACCTCTCAATCACCAGACCTCAACCCAATCGAACATGCTTGGGTTGAGGTCACGCGTGCGACTTCTGATTAACCAGATGAGTGTCCAAATCTTAA